TATTTAATGGCATGGAGAAAAGCTCACAGTATGATGCAAATTTGAAAAATCAGATTATAAGATATAACATGGTCTAATTTTCGGTTTTCTATAAGATACACACGTCAAGAAAGAACTGGAGAGGCACAGCAAATCATAACTGTGATCATCTGTGAATGCTCGGTGTACTATGAAATAGTTTTCATTTTCTTCATATTTTTCTGTTTCCAATTTTTTAAATAAAAGAATATTACTCTAAGCAGGAAAATATAGCTACTATAACTGAGTGCATATAGCTTCTCTTTTTTTCATCTCCTTACTCATAATCACAGTAAAAGTAATGTTAAAAATATGTTCCAGATTTTTATTTCTCCTCAGGTCTTCTGTGGCTGCATGCGCTCAGTTATCATTCCATCATGAAAAAATAAATGCACATGAATTTCCTTGTGTAAAGCAGCTTTCCAAAGCGCCGCCTGGCAGTGGGAGAGCCTCACTGAAAGAATAGCTAAATTCTCAAGAAGATGGACCGGCTTTTCAAATACAAAGTTAAACAGAGATTCTGGAAAATGCTAAAAGATTTCCATGAACATCGGTTACATATTCATTGTTTTTAACACTATATTTCATGTCAGAACGAATGAAGAGCATCACATGTCCATTTGATTGCAGGTTCTCAGGAAACTGGAGCCATGATGTCTTCATAGCTATTTCATTCTATTGACCTACCATGTAATCAGATAAAAGTCTATTCAGGAGCACTGAGGTAAAGATCCAGATATTTCCAGTTGATTCCATTTTACATCCATATCCTTAAAATATTTCGACAAAGTAAACCATCGAGATTCCCATATATACATTGAAGTGACAGTTCAATGAATTCAACCTTTTCTCAGGCAGCATGTCTGCTTTATTGCTTTATCCAGGGATAAATTAACCATTAAGCATGTCACTATCACCATAAAAATACTAATGGAAAATAAAATGCAACATATTCCATATTTACCCCAGTCCCCCTGCTGGTGAGAAGAGAACTTGCAGAAAACGTCGAAGCATCTGGTAAGTGTGTGTGAGGTGGCAGGCTGAGCGGTAGGAGGAATGGATGAAAAATAGAAATAAAATGTATTTTTTCAAAACTAATCTTTGTCAAACCCCAAGAAAAATAAAAGAAGCTAAAAATATTTTTTAAATCTCAGTTTGTATTAAAACATTTGTTAATTCTTTCTGCAGTCTGTGTTAAGTACTTGTGATGTATAAAGAAGGCAGTAGGGCACAGAGGTTAGAGCCCAAGCTTTCACTTCAAGTGGACCATGTGAGACTCAGCTCAGCTGCTGGGAGTCGTCTGACTTTGGTTTAGTTCTTTACCCTCACTAACCTTTGTTTATTCATCTATAAAGTGGGATAACAATATGTGCATTCCTATGTACAGTTTTAGATATTATTTTAAATATTCAATGAAATAATGAATTAAAACTCAGCTCATGCATTATGAGCTTAATCAGTGTTAATAAATATTAATCGTATCTATTGTAATTACCACTATTACTACTACTACTACTATTACTATTATTGCCCTGTACTTGGTTTACTAAAGAGGAAACCAGAGATATAGAATAACCAGTGCAGATCCTATAGACTCTCCTAGTCCTGAAGGAGAAATATCAGGCATGAGTGAAATGTTCAATAGCCAAGCCAGTGCCCCGTCTGCATCAGTAAGACCCTAGGAGCACGAGGCTCACAGGTGGCAGCACAGTGTAATGGTCAAGACTGTAAAGTCTGCAGGAGTCAACTGCTTCTGTTTAAATCCCAGCTCTGCTACTACTGACTAGCTAGCTGTGTTACCTGAGGCTGGTTATTTGTCCTCCCTGTGCCTCTGCTCCCTCAAATGTACAATGAAATGGCCCTCATAGGGTCACTGGGAGGACTGAATGAAGAAACACTCATAAAGCACTTGTGACAGTGCCTGGCACAGACAAAGTGTTTAATAAATGTTAGTGATCCTTACATACTTCTTTGTATCCAGCTAAAGACCTAGTGAGGTGCCACTGATATTGTTGATTTGCTAGAAGCAGTGGTATGAATACCAGACAGTAGCCCTCTAACTGCAGCATCATTCACTAACATTTGAAGGAGGAGTCGTTGTGGGCTATAGGAGTAAAATGAATGCTCCTGCAGATACCCAATTTCCTCCAATTTCTCACTAACAGGAAGAAAACTGACAGTTTAAGAAAAGGAAGTGAGACACATTGAATAGCAGTTATAAAGAAGGATATAAAGTAGTATGATAAACTAAACATAACCCATTTATATTGGGAATCCCTGCCCCTGGGAGAGTAGGTTATTCTTGACTCACACCCTCAACTTCTTGACTAAGTCCAGTGGTGGCTGCCAAGCGCTCTGGAACTCCAAGTACTTTACTCAGTGTCCTTCAAACTATGTCCCTTGTCCTATGACATGTCTGTCACCTTTGCATTGGGAAAAGTAAAAGGATGAATGTTTTCCATGGTCAAATAGCTTTGGGAAACAGATAAACAAAGCTGAGCAGGTTTCTCAGAGGTTTTTTTACATATAAATCTCCAAGAGAGAATGGGATGTGTAAACAGCACTTCCTCCAATGTATTGGACCATGGAGTTCTTTTCTTGTACAGAATGCCATCAATATCTTCTATTGCACAGAAAGGAGCTGAAGATATGCTGGTTTAATTGAAACGAAAAACCTTGTTGGCAAAGAAAAGGTAATGTGGAGGATATTTACATATTTTTTTAAAGGCAGAATTAACATTTTGAATCCTACAAAATGCCAGAAACTTAAACAACCAAATATGTAAATAACACAGGAACTGCATTGTTTTATCACCAAGGTCTTACAGCTGAAGAAGAATTTAAGGCTCAGAGATTAAAACAATGTCACACAGCTAGTAAGTGAAGGAGGTAGGAGCTTCCATTAATTGTAATACTTCTTAAAGTATCTGGAATTGCAAACTGGGAGAAAGACTGGCAAATGAAGGAGAAAGATGACTCCACGATGTGTATGCACAACTTGCATATTTTTCTTTTCATCACTTCACACACACCCCAAAAGTATGTTAACTGAAATCCACTGTGAATAAGAGGGAGAAAGCAGTAAGTCTTAATACAAGAAGTACAGAACAAATGCAAATTGCTCTAAGTAAAAGCACAAGATGCCACAGAAAATACTATGTTCCTTTCATATTTTAGGACCACAATTTCTTTACCTCCACAGAGTAATTTTCATAGCAGTTCCAGTGAGGTACCTGAATTCTGAGTCTGTATTTCAATGGTCCTAATTTCCTTTGAATATAGAACCATTAAAATTAAAACAGACACATTTTTAAAGCTATGTAGATTTAAAGAGGGAGTAGAATCTGGAATCTGCATTGAACATTTTTGTTGAAATATACATATATATTTCAACAGGAAATTATATATTATAATATAATATATTATATATCTTGTATATATAATATAGGAATTATATTATATATAATATCTCTGTGCCAAATACACATACAATACATATGGCTAATTAATTAGTACTGTTGTTCACTAAATAATATCTTCCAAATGTGCCCACTGATATAACCTAATGAGTTACCTTTATAAATCTGATATAGTTGATTATTGGATCAGAGAGCTCAACACAGATGAATGGTTTCCTAAGAGGCCACCACCATGTTTCTGGAATAAGAATATCCAAAGGAATATCTGTGACACTGTACTGCAGGTTCCCTCTCCTTAAAAAATCTAAACTCTCAAAGGGGTAGGGCCAAGAGCAATAAAATTGCTGGGTTCTGGTCAACGGACCACTTCTGCAATACCCAGGGACACTAAAGTCGGTTGTTATTTCTCATAAGAAGTAGTAATAGTGTAATTTGTAATTTGAAAGAAGGTCACCTCTCTGAGTCAGTGACCACTATGTTATTGCTTGAAGGATTTTTCCAGACAGGTGGTCATTACTTATTGACATCTCTGAACTTTAAAAATCTTTTTCTTCTTAAATATCTTGGAGAACATGAATTTTCTCCAAGGCAAGATAGCTTGTAGTTTTGAAAGCATTTCCCCTCACAGAACGTTGTCTTGCTTGATCCTGATGATAACCTTACAGTAAGTCAAGCAGGTACTTTTATTCCCATTCTTAAGATGTATCAACCGAGGCTTATACAGCCACAGTGAAGCAGGACCCCAAAGGTCAAGTCCAGCAACCTTAATATCACAACCTTGGGACTCTGCATGAACAAACTGGGAAGCAAAAGGGAATTTTCACTGAGAAATGCACCTCAGAAAATCTGTGGTTTCCTTTTCTATATTTTACAGATATTTTGGTGAGACTATCGAATTTATCCCACAGCCACAATACACAAACATTCTGATCAAAAAGTCATGTTCGCTAATTAACAAAACAAACAAGCAAAAATATAATCAAAGACACTGAAATAGAGAACAGTCTGACAGTGAGCAGAGGGGAGAGGGGAGAGAATTTCAGGGGAAAAGGGCAAGGGCTCGCAGGAACAAGTATAAAGGACACGTGGACAATAACAAGGGGGAGTGGAAACGGGAGGGAGGTGGGGAGGGCTGGGAGGTGGGCTGGGATGGGGGTAAAAGGCAGAAATCTATACTTGAATAACAATGAAAAAAAAGTCATGTTCGTGTTCCTAGGTACAGGTAACCTTATAGTGCTTCTTCATTTTTTTTTCTTCTTTCGTGAAATAGCCTGAAAACAGCTCCCCCTTGCTGTCCTTCAAAGCATATCTTCACTAAAGTTGAAACGCAGAGCTCACAGAGTAGTTCTGTCTTGCTTGGGCCCTCAGCTGAGCTCCCGCTGTCCAGACTAATTCAGAACAGGTAGGTGTTCTTTTCTAGAACTCCTCCTTCGTAGCGCCTCCTTCCTGCCACGGCTGACTCCGTCTCACCCCCCCCCCCCCCCCCACCACCGCCCGGACCCCTTCCAGTGCAGGGGCCTGGCAGGTTTTCCGTTCCGGTGCCCTGGCCAGCGTTGCCTGGGTGGCCGTTTTCCGGCAGCTGCTTTCTGTCCACTCGAGGAGACGTCCCCACGGACTATTATGGCCCAATTCCCGCCTACCGCCTCTGTGAGAATCAGGCTTTTCCCCGGAGAAAACCCCAAGGATTTAACTTAGAGAAAACTCCGTTCGCCTTCCTTCACTCCCACCCCCGACCCCGAAGAAACTGAGAGGTCCTTCCCCCTCGATGCAGATACACGCACGGCGGCCACGGCCACGAGGCTGCAGTGGGAAAGGGGGTGCGTCCTTGCTGAGAGCGAACGTGGGCGGGGTAGCAGCGCGGGCGAAGAAGTTGCAGGGGAGAACGTGCGCTCTGGGTCACCCAGTTGTTGCCCTGCAAAGGAGGAGGGGGAGTAGCGGGGCTGGGAGAGATGGAATTCCCGTAGCCAACTCCCCTGGGAAGAAAATTATTCGGGCTCGCTGCGGCGGGAGAAACCCGGGCTGGAGGAGGGGAAGTCCTGCGCCAAATTTGGGCGCAGGAGCTCGTCCGCCCGGCGGTGAACTCGGGGTTTCTAGGTAAAGTATTGAATGCATCTGTTGAAGTCAAACGCCGGATTAAGGTGGCCCTTGAGGGAGGCTCAAGGAAACCGTGGCAAGCCCACAAAGGGCATCACACGTCCTGTTCTCCAAGACTTCTGGAAGAGAGGAGCGGGAAAGCGCCAGGATCCCGCCCATCGCTCGGAGGAATAGGCGAGTCTCCCCGCCCCGCCCCAGCAGTAGTGATGTAAAGAGGACAAGTCACCGACGTGAGGAAGGGAAAATAAACAACCAGCCGGGGAGCGGGTGGGGAGGTGGGGAGAGTAGGCACCGAGCAGTCTCCAGCCGGAGGGGCGAGAGGGAGCACTTTCTGGGGAAACAAACCTCGCCTCAAGAGTTGAGTCTGGAGCCCAGTGCTTTTTAGAGGCTCGGAACGCACCTCCCCAGCTTCGTCCCAGTAGACAAAGGGCTGAGCAGGAAAAGCTGCGGGCGGCGGACGGAGAGCGGCTCAGTTGGTGGGTGGGACGCCGCGCGGGGAGACGCCAGCGGGAGGGATAGCTGAGCCGACTGGCTGCAAGTGCGGGAAGGGGAGGACGCGAGGGAAGGAGCCCGCACACTCGGAGGAGGGAAGGGAGCGAGCCTTGGCAGAAGTCGAAGGGGCGCCGCACGGACAGCATGCCTTTAGCCAGACGCCCCGCTGCTGGGTCCGCCAGCAACTCCAGCCTGTTGTGGCCGCTGACCACCGGCGAGGCCAACAGCAGTGGGGAAACGGAGGCGCTCGGGGAAGGCGGAGGTCCGCCGAGAGACGAGCGCGACGAGGAGCTAGCCAAGCTGGAGATCGCCGTGCTAGCCGTGACTTTCGTGGTGAGTGTGCTGGGGAACAGTACTGTGTTGCTGGCGCTGCACCGCACGCCCCGCAAGACGTCCCGCATGCACCTCTTCATTCGCCACCTCAGCCTGGCGGACCTGGCCGTCGCTTTCTTCCAGGTGCTGCCGCAGCTGTGCTGGGAAATCACCTACCGTTTCCGGGGATCCGATGGGCTGTGCCGCGTCGTGAAGCACCTGCAGGTGTTCGTCATGTTCGTGTCGGCGTACATGCTAGTGGTCATGACCGCCGACCGCTACATCGCGGTGTGCCACCCGCTGAAGACCCTGCAGCAGCCCGCGCGCCGCGCGCGCCTCATGATCGCTGCCGCCTGGGTGCTGAGCTTCGTGCTGAGCACGCCGCAGTACTTCGTCTTCTCCATGGTCCAGGTGGACAACGTCACCGAGGCCTACGACTGCTGGGCCAATTTCATCCAGCCCTGGGGTTCCCGCGCCTATGTGACCTGGATGACGAGCGGCATCTTCGTGGGGCCGGTGGTCATTCTCAGCACCTGCTACGGCTTAATCTGCCACCACATCTGGCGCAACTTCCGCGGCAAGACTGCGCTGCGCGGAGGCAAGGGTGCGGAGGGCCCCGGCGGCGCCTTCCACAACGGGCTCCTGCTCGAGCCCTGCGTCAGCAGCGTGAAGTCCATTTCCCGCGCCAAGATCCGTACGGTGAAGATGACTTTCGTGATCGTGACGGTTTACATCGTTTGCTGGGCACCCTTCTTCGTCGTCCAGATGTGGTCTGTCTGGGATGAGAACCTCAGATGGGTCGGTAGGTGTCGGGGCCATAGAGGAAGGTGCAGGGATGGAGCCGCGGGAGCAGGGGTGGGGGTTCTTCTTATCACATCCTCTAGGACAGTCCTTCTTAAACTTCTGTGCGCCCGAGAATTACACCTTGCCTGAGATTATCAAAAAAGCAAATTCCTGGGGTCCCTGCCCCAGACGTTTTGATTCAATAGCTCTGGAATGGGCCCCAGCAATCTGCATGTGTAGCTTGCAGTGATCTGAAGACCACAAATGCAGAAACTGCGCCCTAAAGTGAGCAGCCACACAACTACAAAAACAAAATGACTTCCTGCCGATCACTAACCTCTGTGTTAATTACCCGCTTTGCAATCTATTGGATTCAAGGGATTAATTTTACTGTCACAACTGCTTTTGCTAGTTTGTGAAAAAATACCACAGTTAATACAAAAACTTTGTCGAAATGCCCCAAGGGCAAGGGTAAAATGGACAGACTTTTTCTGAAGAAAGAATTCTTTAAGAAGTCAATAATTCTAATTTGGCATTTAGCTAGTTTTCCTTTTCTTATTTAAGTTTTTTTTTCTAAAAGTTACTTTAACGCTCTTTTTTCTGATATTTCACAGAGGAATTATTTTTAAAAACTCTAAAATTGTGAGACAAATTAATTAGTCTTTCAGCAATGTCTTCACACATATCCATACACCTCTGTGTGCAACCCTTGCAGTACAGTAGTTCACCGAGAGTGTTCTCTACACCTACCAGCTTGTTTGATTTTAATTCCTTTACAGACTAAAGAAATTAACTTCACAAGAATTTACACCAAAGGGAATTGTTTAATATTGTATCTTGAAAAAAATTCCTTTTAGTAAGAAAAAAACTTTCAAAAGAATTATAGCATATAGGATGTTACCAACAACAGCTGTACTTGGAAAATGGGTATCTGGGAAGACCTGTCTTGTTATTTGGGATTGGGTGTGAAGTATATGTGAAATATTTTGGAAGTTATATGTGCAGATAAAACATATGAGAGTGAATTTAATTCAAACAAATGAAAATATTTTTGTGACTATAACATTACAGATGAAAAATACAACATAAATGCTATATTTTTGGTTTCCCATTTTCTGTCTTGTTTGGTCGTAGCAGCCTCTTCATTATTGCCAACCAAATAAAAATTCAGTTTAATAATTACTGAGATTTAGACATGGTACTAAAAACTTCTTCACTCATGTGTAGGTGTGTTGATGTTTTCCATTTTATTTAAATAGGCTTAGTCATGGATTACAACCACCTTTAAAAGTATAGAATGATGAATGTATTCTGGCATAGCATGAGTGAGAAGACTGTACTTACATTTTATAATCAAGGGAAAGTCAGTCCTTGCTGATTATTGTTATCTTCAGAAAAGGCATATTATCTGTTGTTCCACTGTGAAAGTTTATAATATGTATGGAGTTTACCAGTGCAAAGTAACATAAAATATTTCAAAAGCCTATCAGAATTTTCTAATTCAGCTGTTCTTAATAATAATATAATTTGATTGTTGAAACCACAAAGATGGTTTTCTTTTAAAATCAAAAGAATTTTCTAACTAACCAAAGAAAAACAACTAAATATTGTATCCTTCAGGGACCTATTTCAACTATACAGTTATGTTATTACAAGATTATGTTTTAATATTGAAAACCTTGAAACTACTAAACATGGTCCACGATGTCATACTTTTGCCTGAGTTATTGGGATGAATACAATTTGGTGCATGTGGGTATAGACTTGAAATGTCGCTGAAATTGCAGCCATTCTGTAAGTGCTGTGTCCCTTAGCACATGCTGGTGCTAGTTTAAAAGACGCAGAAATTTTTTAAATAAATTACTTAATATTCTTAACCCCTTAAAAGTTCCACTTATTCTATTTAAATATTTTAATGGTTTTTTAAAATATTTGAGTGAATTTCAAGGCATTTTGCCTATGAAAATGTTTTATAACCAAGCAATTTCCATGCACCACCTCTTTCCCTAAATGATTAACAAAAGACTTCATTTTCTTTGTTAACCCATAAATTTTTACCGTGCTCAGTTATTTGCATTTAACTATTTGAATAATCTCCTCTTATGTTTTCCTTAGAGTCAGAAAATCCGACCTTCACCATCACTGCATTACTGGCTTCCTTGAATAGTTGCTGCAACCCCTGGATATACATGTTTTTTAGTGGCCATCTCCTACAAGACTTCATCCGAAGCTTCCCGTGCTGCCAAAACATGAAGCAAGCATTCAACAAAGAAGACTCTGACAGTATGAGCAGAAGACAGACTTCTTACACTAACAACCGAAGCCCCACAAACAGTATGAGTACGTGGAAGGACTCGCCTAAATCTTCCAAGTTCATCAGATTCATTCCTATTTCAACATGAGCCCCTCAATCATGCAGCTGACTCTTGTAACAGACTTTGGGGCCCATTGGCTGAATCCAGCTAGCAGTCATGAGAACAAATGAACTACATGAGATAAGCATAAATCAATTCGTGGGTACAAGATTCTGTTTCTTTTCTATTTGCATCTTCACATTGCTATGACCAAAAGCTATGAATTGTTTTATACAGAGTGGTAATAAAAAATATTACACTGAAATTTTCAGGTCTAATTCCCAGAAATAAATATGAGAAGTTTCTAAAGGAAAAATCATAACCATCCTGACTTTATATTTTGTTGTTGGTTTCTTTTCTTTTCTTTTTATTTCTGACATAACTAAGTTTTGATTGGTTTAAAAGTCATATAATGTAGGGGCCTTATTGCTGAACAAAGTGAGCTCATCCTCAGTCAGCCTTAGTGTTTGAAAGGAATTAGAAGAGACTTGAAAGAAATTGTTCTCATCCAATACAATCAATTTACACATCAGAAAATGCTGCCTCAACTGTGGCCTAGACGCGGGATGGTGCCTTGGAGAGGCATGAGTGCTAGAGGCCTATATGAACAGGTGGTGTCTGGCTCAGAGTGGAAAGAGGAAAGTTCTGTTAGAAGCTATAAATCACCTAGATTTCAAAACAGGAACTTCAGAACTGGCAGTTCCCTCCTTTAGGGTCCTGATGTTTTATCAGTTATGAAAAGCCAGTGGACTTAGATGCTGCAGCCTAGAAAAAAAAAGTGTCAATTCACTGATATTTTCTTTTTTCTCCCACTGCAAGGTTGGTTTAAAGTCAGATTTGTATCAGGAATCCTAGGTTTTATGAGAAGAGTAGAAGCAGAGTGTCCAAGGTGCTATGCACACTGTCTCTGGAACGTCGTAAATATGTTTTGACTATTGTGGAATTACAACACTGTGCCATTGGACGGTACCCTTTAACAAAAGAGTATGCTGGATATTAACGTGATCATTGCTTTATGTTGAGGGAATCCAGATTCATAGATAAGAGAGTCTGCTAAAAAGTGGCTCAGGATATACTATGTCCCCTCACATTTAATTAAAAATAGCTTGGGCTTCCCTTCTGGTCTCCCACCTATCCAACAGTGTCAGTAGCTGAGGGGCAGGGTTCTGACCTCGATGTCATGGACATGGAGAGAGAACTGCTCTGAACCTCATCTGGCTTCCTTCATTACTAAATGCATGACTTTAGGCACATCACTTAAACATACAAAAAAGTTCTATTTCCTTGGCTGTACAACGGAGTTGATGATGCTTACCTCCTGCGATTATTGTGAGGACTATATGAAACCAAGTGTGTGAAAGACCTTCATAAATAAACTTCCAAGTGCTATACAAATGATAGTTGCTTTTGTTATAGTCTTGGGGCCTTCTGAATTGCTCAGCCCTTTTCTGTTTACTTTTCATTAACCAGAATTTGTTGGTTTCATGTCTGGGGTACAAGATCCTAAAATTTAAATATAGCTTCGCTGATTCATTGGAAACTACTGCCAGTGACCACTAAGGCTGACTTCTGCCTAACTTCAGTTTTGCAAGTTAAAGATAGAACTTGCTCCCCTTTGACTGCAGGTGACCCAAAGCCAGCCAAGAGCATCCATTTCTTTCATTTCTAGACAGAGGTAAATTACAACATCATTTGGATGCTGTTACTGCATTTTTTATTAATGGGACTGGGTTTTTTCAACCTGTTTTGTCTGGCTCCTTTTCCTTCTTAGATTGGAGGATACATCATGTGTATTTTGCATCTCTTAAAGGAAGTGACAGCTATTTTAATAGTATTGTTGGTTCTTGGAATGAACTCCATGGATAAGAAACTGAAGACCGGAGAGCGCTGTGAGAACCTGGAACCATCAGCTTCACTCCTCTTCATTCTCTGGCCTTTCCAAATTCTCCGATCTTTTACTCCCTGGATTGATATACCTAAAAAAAGCTTGCCAATGTTTTATAGAGATTAAGCCCTGAGGTGTTAGAATTCTGCTTTTCAAAAATAACAAATATATTTCTTAAAGGGCACTGTCCAATATGAGCCATCAATTAAGTTGATCAATTCTTTGTTATCAGAGGCACAGCAGCATCTCAGTAACCCTGCCCTCTGTAACACTGTCTGCCCTTTTGACAACTGCGTTAAAAAACTAAAGCTTTTTGAGTTGGAACAAAGATGAGCCCACTTTTTTTCTAAATCTATCTTTTTCTAAAATAATAACCTCATGGTTCTTGTAGCTTGTCAAAATGTAAAGCAATGCAGTTTGGATTTTACTTCCAGGAACACCTATCAAATAAGGTGCACACCAACCCGCCCAGCTGTGTTTTCTCCTTTTAAATGCATGAGAAGGCAAGACAGGGGAAAAAGGTCTGGGGAGACACCAGGCAATCTAGTGATAGTTTTGCACTAAGCAAGTATGTGGTCTTATTCTCTGTGGTTTAGGCTGAGAAGCTTAACTTTTATAGTTGCTGAATTTTATGCCCATAAATGATATTCATGTGTCCTGAAACAATATTCCAAATTGAAGTAGTTTTGCCTATTTTGGAAGAAAGGAAATAGTGGGTTTTAAGGAAAAAGACTGTTTTGGGAAGAGATTTCCCTTTCTTGACCAAAGAGAAGACCTGAGGTACAATGTCAAATGAAAGCTTGCAGTTAAGAATGAGTGTGTTGTACCACCTTATTTTGCACAGTTATTTGTGGCAAGGTCTGCAAGTATACAATATTAAGTGTCTATGTGGGTATGGGAAAGTGATTGATAAATAATGACCTATAAGGAGAAATTGGTGGTATTGTGTGTTGGGCATTTGATAATTCTTAATTGATGATGAAAAAAACATTTTAAAGTACATAATATGTTCATCTTTGGACATGTATTTTTAAGGTGTAAGACTACCCAGCTTTTATACTAAAATACCATTTAGAACATAACTGTGAAGATAATTAGTGAAATTCCATGGTTAATTATATACTTGTCTTACATGCAGAATTTCTATCATCATCCAAGCAGTCTTCAGCCATAATTGAGAGAAGGGTGTGATTTTTGAAGAGAAAAAAATATTGAGTAGTCCTAGTAACATGTAGTACCCTCCTAAATTTATTGTATTTCCTGGAATGGACCAACCATTAATGATTTAAAAAAACACAACTTTGATTTGTTATTACACAAGTAGAGCCATCCAATTATCTTAAAGTTTTATTTTTTAGATCCTAAAACCTACATTTTCATAATGTAATTGGACACCAGGTGCTTTAAATTATAGCTTCAGAGTTTTTTCTACCACCAAATCATAATTAGGAACTATATAGGGAGACATTGAGCCTAGTCCTTCACCCCAAATATCAGTGAATAACCTCCTTCGGGTCCACATAAACTGAGTCCTTTTGGATTTTCATACTGGAGGCAACAGCTCTACTTAGAGTCAGCCCAGGGCAGGGCCATCTGGGATGCTAGGCCAGAGGGGCAAAAGCAGCCACTTTCCTCCTTCCCTTCTCTCCTTCCCTATTACCCTTTTAGTGCATGCAGCATCAGTATCATTGGCAACAGTTGCAATCATCAGTAATGAAGGGCAATACAGATTAGAGGAAAATTCTCATTACAATTTGACCTCAGATCATTTGAGCAAATTGAAGAACTATCTATGAGTTATTGTCCTCAAGGCAGCCTAGATGAGTTGAGTCACACAAATTGTGTGATTCCATTGCATACATATGCATTTAAATAATGTTATTCTAATTCAATGTTGGGCATAGGAAATTATTATGAATAAAAAATATATTTGACCTATAGTATGTCAGTATTAAAAATATATAACTAAAAATTAAATGCCATTACTTTTTTATATTATAAAATATAATATCACATCATATTTTTACATTGATTTATATTCTAAATAAAACCAAACATCATAGAGTAAATTAAATAATTTTGTGTCCCAGGGTCGTTAAAAAATCTGAGGATAAATGTGATGGTAATATCAACATAACTGATAATTATTATTGAATAAAATAATTAACATTCCCACACATGAAGATAGTTGTATTTATATCACAGGGTTTATGACACATTCTATAATGTATTAGCTCATTACTATAGCAAATATATTAATAATTAATATTGTATATTTAATATTCCATTTTTAGAATTGTTTTTCAAATGTTCTGTATCCCCAAGCTTAATATGTTATATACAGAATAATTTCAATGTGTTTTCTTGGGGAAATTATATGATTCTTGTTTTGGTGGATGTTGAAATGTTTTGTGATTGTACCTAATATTTGGTCCTTTACAGAAAAAGTGGCTTGTGGTATTATACTTAAATTACTGGTGAATTGATTTCTTAATTTTACTGCACATTGGCATGATTCCATAAATAAAAACAAATCTCAAACAAATTGCTTGAAAGAATTTTTCTGCCATCTACTTTAATATGGAAATATATTTCAGTTTAATTATGCTGATTTTGAAAAACAAAGAAATGTTTTACCACTGGATGCCATTGACAGCTCTCTACTTGAGCACACAGCAGTTCACATTTATACTCTATCTCAAGAACAGAAGACACTTCATAACTGGCTCTTCAATAAATTACCAAAATGAAATCTAACTAATTCTATTTTGGTCTGTATTAACACAACCAAAGTAATGGGTTAGCTGAGGTCCTGTGTGCCATCCTAGCCCGAAAATGTCACTCCATCTATGTGCCTCTAGAAGTGGTGGGACTGATTTCGGGGCTGGTGGAGCAAGCCTCTTCCCATTTCACAGTCTTTAAAATTGGAATTCTTTACCCTGTGGGCCAATAAATTCAAATCACTTTAACTTCCAATTTATTTTTTTATTTTATAAGTTAAACTCTAATGGCATGGACTAAAAGGCTTGTTTTGGTTTTGGCTTACACTTGAGAAAACAGTGAATGCCCAGAATGGAAGAAAGGGAATTTAAAGTTTCTATTTTAAAATACTGTTATTTTAAAACTCATGTTATTTTGAAAGGTTTATAAATGCTTCAGAATAAACAGGATTCCTACCAAAACATATTTTTAAAAGGTCCTATCAATCAGGTAAAATTGAACTAATAGTTCCATTGTATACCAGAAGACTCAGATAAATGCGCTAGTGCAGAATTTATTCATTTTCTATCTTTAATCCTCCATAATCTCTAGAGTTAATAATTTCTTCCTTGCTTCACTTCAAAAGCCCTCTAAATACCTTCACTATGACATATATCAGA